CTGATGAGTGAGAGGTTCTAGTTTTACCACCTGCCTCAGTTTCACCCCACCCCAATTTTTGCCAGGCATTTCTTAAGGAGCTTCTTTTCTATAAGTATTAACATTATTCATTTAAATGGAACATTTTTAAATTGGTTATAAGGAAAAAGATCAACATTGTAGTTCTCATGGAAGGTTTCTTGGAAGTGGGCCTTAAAAGATAAATAGAATTGAACTGGGTAGGAAAGCGCAGAAAAGTTGTTGTTGTTGTTGTTTGCTAAGCCGAAGAAAAAATACTAGCAGAGATGCAACGCATAGCATGTTGGGATGGTCAAAACCAGGACTCAGGTTGAAAACTGGAGATGAGATTGGCATAGTGGAGTTAGCTTATAGAAGTTCTTAGAAGCCACAGTAGAAATGAGATATTTTACCACTTCCTTGTTCTTTGTATTCCCATCTCCCTTGTTTTTCTGTTTGTTTTGGTTGAAGATGTCTCTTGTGGTCCCTCAATCAGTGATACTTATCTACCTTCCATGCCCCCACACGCACTTACCCCACACCCCAATGGGTTCAGGCACAGATACAACAGCACTGCCTGTCACCAGCCTAGCTTACACAGAGCAAGCTATGTCTTGTTAGGATTAGTGTCTAATTCTGAATAGCAATCTTTTATTATATATGCTTCTCTGCAAAGCACTAGTGAAGTCTTGTCACTTTTTAAAATGAAACCTTATGTAAAATTTTTGGATATTTAATTCTGTTTATGGTCAATGTTCTGGTTTGTGTGTTAGTCATCTCTCAGCTAACAGTCTCTTGGCAGGCCATGCTTAATTCAGTTGTTGTGTGTTTTCAGGCTGTTCAGAATTCCACGTTGCTTAGAGTTTTTCCACCTCCAATGTCCGGACACTTTTTCCTGGCTTTCCCAACCCTTCCGACCATTCAGAATCACATTTTAGTGCTGATGTTTGAAGCCATTTCTTTTTCTTTTTATTTGCCTGATTAATTTCAAACTCGAAGTAATCATATTTTATACCTTTTTCCTGACCCAGATCAGTATTTCATCTCATTCTGTTTAACTTCAGAAGGCCCAGAACATAAGATTTATACCAATTTGTGCAGGACCCAAATGTGTGCTGACAGAAGAGAAAGAGTGAACTTTTAACATTTTCACTCCAGTACTGTTCCTTTTGGTTCTATTTTTCCCAAATAGGCATGGGGTTTTTTTCATTAAGTACACATCTACAAAAATGGTTTAGCAGTCTTTCTACATACCTCAGCTCTCACAACTCCCTAATCTAATGTTGGCCATGTTCCCTCTTGTCAGAAAACCCATGACTTTACTGCTTTCTCTTCACTGGAGCCCCGCACATTGACATGGTCCTTAATGAGCATGTGCAGTCCATCCTCGGCCTCTCACGTCCCTGTGTTTTCCTTCAGAGGCCCTTCCTCTCCTTCTCATCGAAGCCACCAGAGTCTTCAGGTTCTATCTCCCCAATTAGAACCTGCTCTGATATTTTTTATTCACACTGAGGGACAAATTGGAGGCAACAGTTGAAGGTGTTGTCCTTCCCAGGGGTGGTCACTTTTTAGCAGAATTCAAAGCCTTAAAGAATAACAAACTTCATCTGCTGCCATTAAGAGGAGTTTTGGAGCCTCTCTGCTGCTCTTGGACGGGTGTAGTGTATAAAGATGCCCAGCAGCCCAGGAGAGGGGCCTGCAAAGATGAAGCGTTATCATGAGCTGTTTCCCAGTTTGTCCTCCTTTAATTAAAATAATTAGAACCTCATCAGTAATGGTGAGATCGCCTGCCCATGGGGGTTAGTACTGAAACACCCAAAGAACCCTTTTATAAAGTCCTGCAGAGAGGACTAAAGAATGTTGCTGTAGCTCCTTTAAGTATTCGTTAGAGGTGTTGGGTTTGTTGGGACTCTTAATGGCATGTCACTCCAAATGTTAAAGTATCCGGCCTATCATTCAGTAGAGGCTTCCTGAATTCAGCTTCAGGCATTCATATCCTATCTGATAGTCTTCTTCTGGAAATGCTGATAGTTTCATGGGCCTAGAACTTACTACAGGGCGTGAAGAACAAAACCCATTTTAAAGCCACCTAGACCAAATCTAACCTCTCTTTTCGGTTGAGCTTCAGATGACAATGCCATTGCAACCGTGGCTCACAACTCTAAGGTTTTGGAATCAGTCACAGCTTTAGCTTTCCCTCAAAGAACCTGAGTTTACATTCCTAAGTTTTCCATCACTTCTTAATATTTACGGTACTAAAGAACTCCAGATATCAGTTAAATCCATAGCAGACACATGGGCTGTAATGACTTCTGCAGGTGGTTTGAGCTATATTAGAGAACCTAGTCTTGATCTTAAACTGTCATCTGGATTCTGAGTTAATCCAGGAAACCAGTTAAAATTAGTAATGTGTATTGCATGTCTCTGATACATGTGTTTTCCATTATTTGGTCTTCTGTGCCACAGTGCACGCACACACACATATACACACACACACACACACACACACACACACACAAAATCCTTCAGTTTTTCTAAAATGAGGAGAGAGGGACTACAGTTCCAAAAGGAAATGACTGGTATGGCACCTTGAAATCTGAACTTAGTCACGTGTTCTGAGTAAAATGACTGCAAACATATTAGCAGGATTTTTTTCTTCCATCTCCTACTTTTTGGAAAACACTTTAAGAAGATACATTGGCTAACTTATAGTCATTGAAATTTAATTCTCTAAAGATACGAAAATGATTTGCTACTCATTGCAATGCAGCAGGACCTATAAAATTGGAGTTAAGCTTCCATAACATAGTCTTAAAGAATAGGTAGGGTTAGTTAATACACAGCAGCAACCAGCTGTTCTTCATCTCTGGTAAGACTGGGAAAGAAGGAAATTGGCTCCAACTGTAATAGAAGAGATTTACAAGACTTGTAATGGGAAATTTATCATCAATGGAGACTATTTTAAACATTGGAACAGATAAGTTACCAATAGAAGTGGATGAATGATGTTTTCCATTGGATTTAAAATAGAATATATCATCTACTCAAAGCACTTAAAACTGATAGATTAGATCTGCCTGGTAATTTTTAACTTTTGGGGGCACTCATAGACCTCATTGAGAATGTGATGGACCCTTTTTCCAAAAAAATGCACACACAAATAAAACTTCACAGCAGATTTCAAGGAACTTAAAAAGTTAAAAACACAATTTCAAGGAACTTAAAAACTCTCTAAAGTCTGTAAATTTGAGCCTAATTTAGGACACCATGGACTAGACGTTCTCCAAAAGTCTTTTCTAGCTTCCCAAGTGACAAGTTCCATGGCTCAGTTTTCCCAAACATGACAATGGAATCTGATGATCAAATGTCACACTTTGCATTTTCTTCTCCAGATTTATGCTTGACATACACAGCAGCAAAGTAAAAAGAAAGCATAATAGAATAGAAAGAATTCTGCTTTTGAATTCAGTTCTTTGTCCTAGAGGAGCCACATGTCTAATTTTAAAACTCGCTGGTTGGCTCTGTGTCATCATCATCATAGAAAGGCAATACAGAACTATGTCATCAGCAATCTGTTCCCCACCCTACACCCAGCTCCAGATTCACAGATGTTAGCGCAGCCTCAGACGCCATGTTAACTACCCAGCATTCTTCCAAGTTCACACAGCTAGCTGTATTGCTGTGATTGTTTAGCTGGGCTTGAAAAATATTATCTATTTATAATCTCTCATCAGTTTTATGCCCATTTCATTGACTACACGTTGGAACATGACCACCCAGGATTACAAATTAGGGAGTAATTTGGTCCTCTCCCTAAAATAAAGAGCTTTCATCCTTTTAAGAAGAAAGAATGAAATATAGTACGTGTCTGTGTATTTTAAACTCATGACAGTGAGTTACCCCATATGTGGTAAATATGATTCTACATGGTTTTCCTGTTCCCTTCTAAATACCCGCTAGTTTACCTGCAGGTTCTATAGCACTCTCTTTAATTCCATATTGGAATTGTACTTGTCTCTTTATACCTGGAATCAGGAACTCCGGAAATAAAGATTACCTCAATATGAAGGGGAAATGCTAGTGATCTCTGGGAAACAGCATAATTGTCAGATGTCTATAATTTGTCGTCAGTCTTCACTGTGTTATAGCAAGTGTTACTGTGGGTGGTTCCGAGGACAAACCGAGGGGCACACGGAGAGTCGGAGAATCAAGGTTTATTCGCTGGCAGGCTCAGAGGGGTCTCGCCACCAAATTCTGAGCCCCGTCTACCCAGGTTTTTTCTCTTTTATTAGGTTGGGGTGGTCCGAGGGGTGGGGTCTCAGGTGGCTGATGCAATTGCAAAAGCCAGGATAGGTTAGTGTTAGGTTGATGAGGGTCTTCTGAGGGGTGGGGTCTCAGATGGCTGATTACAATTGGTAAACGTAATTGCAGAAGCCAGGTAATAGATGGGGGGCTTCCTTATCAACTGTACCTTAAGCTCCTAAGACAAATTCTTAACTTCACAGCTGGGAGTATCTTAACGAAGTTAGAAATATTACTGATGAATAGGAGCTAAGCAGACTTGGCCAAGGTCTCCTTATCATTCACCTGCTATGTTGGTCCTTTCGACAATGGTTTCTTCCCATTTATTCTTCCCTGTGCTCCCCACAAAAAACCCCTTCTGTTCCACTTGCCTCAGCCATGGTAATACACTGCATGGAAAGCATATAAGACATACAACGTCTATGGACAGATACTCTGTAGTGTTACCTCTGGCTGTTGCTTGAGCCCTTATTAGTCAATGAAGATTGTTCGGTAACTAGAACTGGGGAGAGGACAGGCCATCCTAGCACCCAGCCATGCTGTAGCTCTGCTTAGTGACTGATAAAGTCCCTCGGCACCCTTGAAAGTTCACTGACAGTTCACACCATTAAAGCACATTTCTGTCTTTCTGGGACTGAAGTTCGAGGCAGAGATGCACATTCTGTTGAATATTTATCCTTTGCGTCTATTGCTTTTTGCAGACAATGTGATCAATGGGCAGGATTACGAAGTGATGATGCAGATTGACTGTCAGGTGATGGACACCAGGATCCTCCACATCAAAAGCTCATCAGTTCCTCCCTACCTCCGAGATCAGCAGAGGAATCAAACCAACACCTTCTTTGGTTCCCCTCCAGCAGCCACGGAGGCAACCCATGTTGTCAGCACCATCCCTGAGTCGTTACAGTAGTACCTGTGGCTATGTTGGCAAACTAAGAGCGGTACCCCGCCAAACCGAAGAGCGGGTGAGAGAAGTGCTGCTTTTTCTGCCTTCTTGGTGACAGGTAGAGAACTGCCTTGTGCTAGAATTCAAGGGGGAAAGAGAGAAAAAAAGCTGCTGCTCCGTTTTTGACCATCTACCCACCTACTTGGAAAGCACTGAGATTTAGACACAAGAAAACAGCATTTCTTCAGTGGCAAATGTAACCCTGCATCCTCCAGTGTTACCTATTGTACCTCTCTAAACCGCTACACCCTTTGTATTTGTTTTGTGTTTAAATAGTGATCTTCTTTCAAATAAGATCCACCTCCCCTTTCTGCCACTTTACTTATTGATGCAGTAAAGTGAATTTTATTTAAAGCTATCCAGTGCACAGATGTTTAGATGGTTTCCACTGATTGGATTTTTCATTCATTTAATGCAAACCCATTCTGGATATTGTGCTTATTTGAGAAGACAGATTTCAAAACCATAACAGCCAAAAACACTCTAAAAAGAGACAAAACAATTTGGAGCCTTAGGTAAAAGGGAAAACCCCCAATTGGTAAAGTTTATCTTTTCTTGGGATTTGTGGTTCACACCTGAACGAATAACTGTGTTGAGGGTTGGAGCGGGTAGCAAACTGATGAGAATGAAATGGAAGGGAAGGGTTAATGGAGTTTTAAGAGAAGAGATAGCTCCATTAATACATGTGTTTAAAAAATTGAAAGTTTGGTGCAATTATAGTTTAACTCCACAGTTACTGCTTGAGGACTCTAGACCACAAAGTATTAGCACACATACATAAGTCTTCTCTTTACTAATATGGTGCAGGGCCTCATGGACCACAGGACAGATCCTTCATTTTCACTGTGAGTCCCCACCCCACCACATATCTTCTGTTAATATGATACCAAATTCAGCTGAGGACCATGGACTTCAGGCTGAAGCACGGCAAAAGCTTTTTCTTTTGAGAATTAATACGTATTTATTCCTTAAAGCAATACAGACAGGCAAGCTTGGATTCCTGCTGAGGGAGTGCACCCCATAATATGGCAATAATTTTCAGTTTCTTCAGTAAAAAGACAAGGAATTAACTCTTGTCCTCCCACGGTAAAACAAAAAGAAAAAAAATACGTTTGTATTTTACTGTACTTTGCCTACTTTCTTCACCATAGTAGACAAATTATGTTTCATTTGATGATTTCACAGAAGTGGATCTCAGGTAGTGATATCCTCTGCGATCTCTCCCTTCAGTTTCTAAAGTGAGTCTTCCTCCCTGTCTTTCTACAAAATTTTTCAATTGCTCAGTAGAACTCATTCTACAAACACTGCTTCTTATCTCAACAGACTTGCCTTTGTCGGATTTCTCCCCTTTCCTTTCCACACTATATCAATCAATTCCTCTTCCTCCTGGCAACAAAGGGAAAGGGAAATCATATCAACCCCCAAGCGTGACATGCAGCCAGTTAGTTTTCTGCCTGTGAAATTAGGCCTGGCTCCTGAATCAATTTAAAGAATCACCAACATTTCTAACTCTCTGGACATGTGCCTCTCTGCCCAAGCCAGTTTAGATGCTTTCCAAGGAAATCAATTTAACTTTTGTGAAGGGGAAAAAAGGGGGGCTCTATTGTTCTATTGCCTGTGAATCTGGAGTTTGAAAAGTGCTAGTTAACCTTCCTCTTTATCCACATCACAAGCCATTTTAGGTTCGGTGCAGTGCTCCCCTCTGACTGGCTAGCATTGGTCACTTTCAGACCACAACATTTTCCCTGGGGACTATTTTTCTAATGGGTGCCAAGGAATCACAAGCAAATGCCTAGAAGACCTTAAGGGGACTGGGCAGTCTTCTCATGGGGTATCCTCTCCTGGCCCTGCTCCTCCCATTCTTTAATGTGAATTAGCCCAACAAAAAGCTGTGACTGTGGCCAGTAGGCAGTGGCAACATGGTCATCCCCCAGCTGCTGATATTTCGCTAGAACTCCGTGCTTATCACAGTAGATAGAAATACAGTATGTTTATGGCGATTGTGAAGGGAGCTCCCCTTCTATCCTTTGCACTGACTCACACAAGAAGGAACCATCACTTGGACTTCTTGTTCTTAGCACTTTGCTTTTAAGAAGAATTAACACCAATCCTACTTAAACTATTACAAAAAATTGAGGAGGAAGGGATACTCCCAAACTCATTCTGTGAGGCCTGTATCATCCTGATACCAAAACCAGAGGAAGACACAGAAAAAGAAAACTATAGGCCAATATCTCTGATGAACATAGATGCAAAAATCCTCAATGAAATACTAGCAAATCGAATTCAACAACACATTCAAAAGATTAATCATGGCCGGGTGC